TTCTAAATCCCATTTACAAATTATTCGATTTTGTTGTTGTTACAAATCAATAAAACTACCTTCGTCCAATATTCGATTAAATTCAAAGTAAATTCGACGATAAAAACATTCGGTCCGCCGATATTCGCCTATCGGGTAGTGATATAGAATTAAAATGTAGAAATTGCTATTACATTCCACTAAGATTTCTTCTAAAATAAGATCGATACTTTTAATCCTATCAAAATATAATATAAAACGATTTACACACGCGTACACATAAATATATATATATATATATATATATATTATATATTGGGGAAAAAAAAAACCATATAATTCGTTGATTGTGAAATCAATTTTATTTTCAACATATTTCTTTGTTTTATATATTTTTTTTCATAAAACTTGAAAATATCAGGTAGAGATCGTGAGGCAGATGAGATCCATGGTGGAATGTATATGGTATAATTAGAGCATGGTGTGAAAACGATAGTGGCGCTAGATGAATTAGCTTTAAGCTTCATTCTCTTCGCTAAACGAAGAGAAACATTATTATTATAAACGATATTTGCATACATTTATATTATTTGTAAAACTAGCGCTATATATAAAATACAAAACTCCAAATAATGTGCATTGAGACACACTTAAAAACAAGACAGAGAAAGAGAAAGAGAGAGAGAGAGAGAGAGAGAGAGAAAGGGGGAGAGAGAGGAAGAGAGAGGTAAAATGACGTTGAGACAAATACAAAGAAGAGTAAGAAAATTTTCAAAGTATAAAACAACAAATAACAATAATAATATCTAATGTCGAAGAAAAATAAGATAAATGAAGATTTTAAATAACGTTACAGGAACGAATGGGGGGGGAAAAAAAAAAAAAAGAAAAAAGCATAAAAATAATAATGTGACGGAAACGACGAATTAAAGTTAACCAAAAGAAGAAGAAGACATATACACACACACACATATAAACACACTCACACATACAAATTTTCTCCTATCTTTCTCCTTCACTCGATCGTAACGTTAAAGGATTGATAATAATAATAATAACACACATTTGAGAAAAAAAAACAATACTAAATAAACATATACATGGACACAACAAACACGTGGAGCAAAAACAATACAAGCAAAACTATTTACACACATTCGACGAAATAATAACAACAACACGGGTCTTAAAAGAAACAAAAAAACAAAAGCACCTTTACCCCCTTTTAAGCCTCCCCTCTCACCGTCCTCCTTTCCTTCCCTCTTAACTTATGATTTTGATTATTCAATAATTACTCTGTATCTGCTCTATAACGTCTCGTCTGTACTATAATCTTTCTATACATCATCGGGCCTTTTCCACCACTCAAAGCAACCAAAAAAAATCTAAATGATTAAATGACAAGAACAAAAAAAAAAGATAGAAAAAAAAATATGACGGGGGAAAAGAAAAGGAAGAAAAAAAAAAGGGATGACGATTATAAAACAAAAACGAAGACGAAGCAAAAAAAATAATGAAATAAAAAAATAACAAATGCTAAGAAGGATAAGAAAAGAGTATAGGATGGAAAATAATACACGAAACTAACTTTACCTATCCCGACACACATTGCTTCTCATGGGGGTTGGATACGGTAACGTTCTAATAACAAAAAAAAATGAAACGATGAAGTAAACGATGATTAAAAAAAAATAAAAAAATACGATTTAAAAGAAGATGAAGAAGAAGAAGAAGAAAAAAAAAACGTAAAAGAAAAAGAAAATAATGAAGAAGACAAAAAATGGAAGAAGAAACGTTAATTGAGCATTGTTATCTATGTAATACAACATAGGATGTTTTGTATTATATTTTCATAATAAATAGAAACGTAGAAAAAAAAAAAAAAGAACATATTAACCATAACACCATTATGTCATTTTATCACCGGTACCTTATCGACCTCTTTCAAATATAACCCTAAAAGTCATCGTCCACTTCCTTTTTTCTTTTTTCTATTCTATTATATACGTGCCGATAATTGACTAACGTAAATCAAATTTAGTCAAAAAGTAATTAAAAAAATTGGACAAAATTTAGCTTACAATTTATGATATACAATATATATAATAACGTGGTAATTATTATAATTGAAAATGATTTATAGTATAAATGTAATTGATTCCATTTTTTGTTTTTGTTTTTTTCTGTAATTATCGGTGCGTATTTATTTGAAATATACATGCAAGTATATTTCATTCTGCTTATTTTGTCATATGTTATTCATTATTTCATTATCTTGCCTTTTTTTTTTTAGTAATACATTGGAGAAATGAAACAATTGAGCTTATCTATTGTTGTTTTTTCGTCATTGCCTAATAGCAGTCGAAATAAATCGTTTATCGTCACACGGATTACAACCCAATGATTTGAAGGAAGAACTCGGTAAAAACGTAAAGTAAAAATAGCTTTATTGTTTGTTTGTTTGTTTGTTTGTTTATGTGTGTGTGTGTGTGTGTGTGTGTGTGTCTGTCTGGATAAGAGGGTGGTATAAGTGTTTGTGTGTGCGACCCTGCACATAAATTTGCGAGAATAGTTGATTTCGAAAGATAATGTCCACATTTTGCTTCGGTCTTATCACGAAACACGATCCTTTGGCACGAAGGGACGAAAGACGTGCGTGATCGAGTAAATAGAGGGTGGCTTGTGAAAGCAATCAAATATATATACAAGGTGTCACGAAAATACGTGGCTACATTTCTTAAATGGAATTCTCATACGTGGAGATGAAGAAAAATACCTTCTGTCAACATGAATCTGAAAGTGTTTAGTTTTGTGTTAGAAAACTTAGAAATATTATTTTAGTGTTGGTATATACTTCAAATTAAGCCAAATTATCTAAGAAAAAAGCAAATGTTTAATCAACTGAATTTATATTAATTTGATTTGAACATTTTTATTTTATTTGTTGTGATTATTTAAAAATATTTGTTTAATGATTTTTTTTAATAACGAAAATTACAATTATTATATATTACTTTTAATTTTATTTCATTTATAGACCTAAATTATTACTATGATTTGGTAGTTTTAATAATTGTATAATTTAAGAGAGAGATTTAATGAATTAATAATATTTTGCCAGATTAAAACCATCTGATATAGAATCAAATTATAGAAAACAAAATTTATATAATTTGTTTATCATTTTTTATACTTTTAGATCTCTCAAGTTATGATTATTTTATTTGTTGAAATTTAATTCAAAAATGGAGTACCTTTTTTGACAGTCATAAATATCGCAATCATAAAAATTCAACGAGACAAGAAGTTATGACCTGTATTCTACCAAGAAATAGACATTTTCAATATTTCATGTGATGAAAATATCAACAGAGTGTAACATAAATCGTAATAGAAGTATTACTCAGAACAAAGAAGACAAAAGAAACAAATTTAAGGGTAAGCTCATTCTCGAAGATAAACAAAATAAAACTGTGGTTCGTATAAATATAATTGAAGATTTATAATTTATAGAATATAATTGCTTCGTAAAAGAATCGAACATAAATTTAAAAACAATATTACAACAGTTAATAATTTATCCGATTCCAAGTTCTATAATCGTAACATTATTTCTCCATTTCCTTTAGTTAGTTTACTCTCAATTTATACATATATTAATATTTTATGCAAATACATATATTACCGTATACATAAAAAAAAAAAAAAAGGACGTTAAAAAGGAAACGAGTAATCTTCCATAATAATAACTTTGATAAAAATGGATACTATCGTCTTGTTTTTTTTTTTTTTTTTTTTTTTCGAACAAATGATAAAGTGAGGTACAAAAAAATTAACATTTAAATAGCTATCGTTTATCTAATTCCTTTCTACGCCCCTTGTATTTGATATATTCTGATGAGAAGACCTAAGGCAAATATATACATATACACACACAAACACACGCGCGCGCGCGCGTACGCACGCACACACGTAATCATATATAGACGTTAGACGAGAGTCAATAATTGGCTCGTCTTGCTTTGGCACGAACTCGAGTGCAATCCATAATTCTATAGAACTGGTCACGTATCGACTCTCTTCCATTATTATAGAGAAAAAGACATCGTTGTTCTTCTTCCTTCCAAACCCTTTCCTACAAACTAACAATGAAAATTACGTGCGTACGTAAGTCACGCTGACGTATCGATATTTTGTCGGTTTTTTACCAAAATTTCTGAAAATAAAATTGAAGATAAGGAATAACGGAATGATAAATTTCAATGATCGCAAAAATAATTTCCTAAATTGAATTTTGATGTATTCATTTTGTAAGGTTTTACCGTTCTGTAGATTATTTTTTAAACATTTCGTTGGAAAAAATATTTTGCCAAACGACGCAAAAAACAAAACTGTTCGAAATATATTTGAAAAGTTTCCATCTTTTTATTCTTTTCGAGAATCGTTTCTCTTCTCTTTTTTTTTGTCTAATTTTTTTCATCTCTCATTCGCATAATAAATATATTGTTCTTTCTTTTTTTTTTTTATTTATAATTAATTATATTATAGTTAAATTATGTAACGTCAATTGAAAGATAAAAACTTGTATTTCGTATCATCGGATAAAAGTAAAGAAAATAATACATTTAGCAAACGTCAATGTTGGAGTGTGCATTTAACTGTATTTAAACAAGAGAATATTTACGAACTTAGTGTTAAAAAAGAAAGGTGTCATTTGTAAGTAACGAATGTATTTATTTAAATATTTTTTCGTTCAATTGATTATTCTTATCCGAGTAGCCAAAAAAAGAACATTTTAACGTAAATGATACGTTTACAATTGACACCTGCGTTTCATTTATCTTTCTTCGTAAATGTGCGGTATCTAACATGGTAGAAAGATAATGTTCGAATAATTTCTTAAAAGAAATATATTTACTTAGATAAAATAAAGAAGGTTTCTTACTGTTTTTTATTTTAAATTATGCAAGAATAATTATTTACAATATAAGATACGTATACATTTTTAATGATAATCCATTCGTGTAAAAATATTTTTCCGTTTCAGATAAAAATAGAAATGTAGTGTCCTCCTTCTTCCCCACCCCACAACATACAACCCATTACTTCTTATCTATCATCAACTTCTAATTAGACCAAAGTATTTGCTAAAACGGTTTATATATATATATATTAACTCATAAAAAAGAACACGTTTAGTCGTGAGGCTAATCTTAAATAGTAACGATGACAAATTTATCTTTATTGCTGGTTTTCATTTTACAATTATGTCTCGTGAAATTGTCATTGACATTTGAATATTCACCAGTCGTACAAACTACCAAAGGACCGGTCAAAGGTCGCGTTTTTACTACTGTCAGAGAATCTAAAAGATATCATTCGTACAGAGGTATCCCTTACGGTAAACCACCAGTTGGTTATCTTAAATTCGTAGTAAGTTTATCGTGAAAAAAATAAACAAAAAGAAAAGAGAAAGAGAGAGAGAGAGAGAGAAAAGTGAGCTTTAAAATCGAACAAAAAAAAATTATTTTTAGGGACCTAAAGAACCAAATGCTTGGAAAGAAGTATTCGATGCTTCCAAGGAAGGTAACATTTGTCCTCAAATTGTGAATAACAAATTTTTGGGCAATGAGGATTGTCTTCAACTCAATGTCTATACTCCTCAGGTAATATTTGTTTATACTTCTTTTATTATTTGACACGTGACGTACGGGTTTTTATTTTTTTTTAATTAATTAAACTTTACAGCTCTTATTGATTAACGACAAAAATAAGTACATTAATTCTTTGAATAATATTTGTTTAAGTAATTTTGATCTCATTTATTGTCATTATTTTTTTTTTAAGCAATTCTCGTTCAATAAGATCGAAATAACGTTTTAAATTCTTACCCAATTCATCTTCCCTACGACACATTTATTAATAATTTTATTTTTGGACGTAATAAACAACTAATCGACTTTAAATATAATAATTACATAAGTTGCGTGCATGTGCAAATAAGAGCATGTGCGTGATCGGTCTATAATGCGTTAATAGGTCAAAACATTTTATACTATCTCAACGATATCTCAACGTTTAAAATAAAAAAGAAAAGAAATAATTGTTACGTGCTATTAACTCGATTACCAAACGATAGAAAGTTGATCTTTATGAATTGTTCGTGGTAAGCAAGGATTATACACTTCCGCCATAAACTTTCGCCATGCATTTATACGTTCTTGACGTAAATGAACTTGATTACTATTTTTTGTTTATTACTATTATACAACACGGCTTAGGATATTTTAATTTATAGAAATGACAATTTGAAATAAGATTATTATTATTATTATTATTATTATTTTTCACAATTTTTTCTTTACAGCTTCCTAAAAATGGAACGGAACCTAAAGCTGTTATATGCTGGATTTTTGGGGGTGCCTTCACTCATGGAGATAATTTGAAAGAATCTTACTCTCCTGATTATTTAATCGAAGAGGACGTCGTAGTCGTCTCTATTAATTACCGGTTGGGTGCTCTTGGTACGGTAATTAATTCATCGAGAAATTCAAATAGACAAATGAGTTGTTAATATATCAAATTGATTAATGTTAATTTGAGAATTTTAGTGCAATATTTATTATTGTTTTCAATCGATCGATATTTAACTTTTTTTTTACATTTGAAATAAATACATTTCTTTAATAATTGTGCTAGTAGTTATGACAGTAGATTAACATAAATATACGTAAAAAAACATTTTCGAAAATTTATTTTATAATATAACTAATTTTAATATGAAAAAATTTATTTGTTCGATTGTTTTCATTAATTGTTAATCCATTGTCATAATTATCGGCACAATTAGGTTTGAATTTTTTATATTAAATAAAAGCAAATTTGATGATCAATTAATAGTAAATTATGTAAAAATGTATATATCAATTTATGTTTATTTTTGTCTACTTTAAAGTTGAATTAATTGATTTAACATACGAGTTGCTTCTATGTAAATTAAAAAATTGATTTAGAAATATTAGATAGAAATTTGTATTACAAGTTTTTGACCATACGGTATAACGACTACGAATATTACACGTAACTGCGTTGAATCTCTCATTAATTTGATGAGAACGATCGATAAACAAGGCATTTGGCAAATGGCCAACTAACTCGACAAAATTTACGAACGAGAATTATTGGCAGAGTAAATATCTTCTCTTTGACGAAAAATATACTATGAATTACTTCAACGCAATATATTAGAAACATTAACTAATTATTACGATTTTTTTAAAAATCCAATGAATTAAGCAACAACAACGGTAAAACCAAAAAAAAAAACAAAGAAAAAGATTTAATCAATATTCAACTATAATAAAAATACTCTACTGTAAAATATTAGCATTATGACATCAAATTGCATCAGGCAAATTATTAACATTAACCAACTAAAATATAACGGATCGGAAATTAATAATCAAAAATAATAATACTAATATTTTAAACAGGATTCTTAGCATTGGGACATAAAAATGCGTCAGGCAACGCTGGTTTGAAAGATCAAAGTTTAGCCCTAAAATGGGTTCATGACAACATCCACAATTTTGGTGGTGATCCAAAAAAAGTGACATTGCTTGGTGTAAGTGCTGGTTCTGTCAGTGTTGGTTACCATATGCTTTCCGAACAATCAAAAGGTAATTAATCAAATTATCTTTCTATTACCACAAAATTATTTCTAATTCTCGTAAATAATTTTCTTTTTTTTAAATTGTATTTTTATTGACAGATCTGTTCCGTAGTACAATTTTAATGAGTGGAGTACCATTATGTTTCTTTGGATTTGATAGACCAGAGAAAGCCAGAAGTAAAGCTTTCCGTGTCGCACGGAAACTTGGATTCAAAGGTTCTAGCACAAAAAAATTACTTGAATTTTATTATCACGTAGATATTCAACGTATGACCGAAATGGTCAATAATTTGACAGTCGTAAGTGTTCATTTATTCGTAAAACAATAACAATATTTCCTATATATAAATAATCTTAAAAATTATGATTATTTTAGTTCAATATTCCATTGCAACCAGTTCTAGAAAATGCTAATTATGTTCCCGATCCATTCTTATCTAAGTGTTCATTGAAAAAATACACATCTGGTGATTTCAATCATGGGCCAGTTATGTTGGGTTTTACCAAAGACGAAACACTTGTATATTTGAATTGTTGGTAGTCTTGTTTATAATCTTATTCAAGGATCTAAACCTTTCGTTAGAGTATACTTTTATAGGGTCGTATGATACGACTCCTATATGGTTCGCTAGTAACGAAAGGATTCACAATCATATTTTTTATTAACATTATTAAATATTGTTATTTGTGAATGTTGAAATAGCAAAAGAAGGAAGAAAGGAAATTATTGATATTACTATGACATACGCTCAACAACTTCATTCTTTAAAACAAGTCAATCCTTTTTATTCATCCACGGCAGTTAGCGATAAGCCTAAAAAAGGAAAATTCACTCCTACGGCTTTAGAGGTAAATCTAATTAAATGATAAATAGTTATATTTATTTAAAATAATATTTATTTTAAATTACATACTTTCTAGTTTTCTTCGGACATCGGTTTTATAGCTCCGATAGATTACACCCAAAAATTATTGTCTAAATTCAACGATTCCGTTTATTACTATCAATATAAATTCGATTATAACAACTCTCTGCACAGAATATTTTACGGCGTCGATAAAAACGGTGAGCTATCTTATATATATATCTAAAACAAATTTTATTATTAAAGTATATATAATTTATTTATTGCGTATAAAAAGTGTCTGAGGGTGTTATAGACCAAAAGTAAATTTTTGTTAAAGTACAATTTATGGAAAAAGGTTTGAACATAGAAGGACTATTTTTTTCTGATAATCAGATAACTGGACAACAAATTTTTGTAAAAATATTTTAAATTTATTCATAAACTCTAACGTGCAATCATTATGATAGGCCATAACATACTCAGACACCTTATTTAGCTTTTTATTGCATGAATTAATGGATTTCACGTTTTAACGGTAACATACATATATATAATATTTTTTTAAATGAAACACTTAAATATCTCGTAAAGTATGATATTTTTGTATTAAAATAAAAAAGACAAGTTTACTCTAAAATTCTACTTGTTCGTTAAAAAATAAAGTACCGTCATAAAGATGAATTACCGTCCCATATAATTTTGTTATTCTATCAAAATTTATTTTTTCATTTAAAAACAAATGAAGATATTTATTTTTCTTGACTATCAAAAATTTCCCAAAGCTTATAGTATATCTCGAATTGTATTTTATTCTATATTAATCTTTTTAATCGAATATTCGTAGGTTCTGCGCATGGGGACGATGTTGCAATGATATTTTATTCGGATCAATTTAAAATAGATCCAAAGGCAAATAACTCGATAACGTTGTTACAAAAACGGATGACTCGCATGTGGACAAATTTGGCTAAATATGGGTCAGTATAACAAATAAATATTTATTATGTATATCTCTTTTCCTTACCCCAATCATTTATTAACAAATAATTTTCTTTTCATTGCTTTCATTTACTATTTCCCTTATATTAGATTTAAGCTTGTCAAACTTTTCCATTCGTGCAAATATTTTACGGTGCTGGATTTAAATTCTCTATCATTATCATAAACATACAAACTATGTGCGTAATATTCCTAAATTAGTTTGGAATTAATTTCATTAAATGTCTAAAAATGTTATACTTTTCCTGAAATTTTGTTGACTCCATATAAGGTCGTTAATTACATTTTGAAAAACCTTGCCAAATATTAACATTATTCTCAATTTTGTGAATAAATAAATAAATATAATAATATTAATAATAATATCTTTATATTCAGGTTCACAGATAAGAATAAGTTTTTCTATAGATAATTATTAAAATAAATTTACAGAAATCCAACTCCAAATGGGACCAAAGATAATTTATTGAACATCGTTTGGCCAGATTCGAGAAGTTCCGGTAAGATGTTGTGGTTAGACGAACAATTGGAAATACATGATCGATACCAGGATCCACTAGTCGATATAGTTGAAAATGGTATTAAACATTTCGGTAGTCACCCTTTCGGATGTGAGTTAAAATATACCAAGAAAACGGATTAAGTGGTCTCATACAAATAATTAATGAAATTGTTCTTTGGGTTTTATTCAAAGTATAATTGAATATGGGATACTTTGTATTATAATGGTCTATTGAATTAAAATATTTTGTTGTTATATTTGAGTAATAATTTGAATTATCGATTCAAGTAATTCAATTAATTAATTGTACAATATTAAAAAAATGTAAAATAATAAATTCGTTGAAAATTTACGTAGATCATTTAAGAAAATGAAGTTATATGCCAATAGTATGTTCCATTACAAACGTGGCGCTATTAATTTTGATTAATTACCAATGCGATCAATACATCAATTACGAAATTAAATACAGCACAGTCCATCTAATATCGTATTCAATACCTTCGCAGCATGTTATCGAATTAGTCAATGACACGAAATTCAAATTGTTTGATTTACGAAATATTATTATCATAAAAATATTTATCACCGAAGAGATAAAAATGGGAATAAAAAAGAGAAAGAAATAAGAAATAGTATATTTGATACAATACATCTTAATTTTTATATCAAAGTAAAATAAGATAAAATGTATTTGTTAAAGACAAACAAAGTCATATTCGAAGGTGATCCTGATAAGTCTTTTCTTACTTTTTAAAAGAAATGTAAATGATTAAGTAGCTTCATTTAAATATCATTTCGAAAAATTACAAATTATATTTTTATATATCTAAGAAACGTCGAATTAATTTATTAATAATTGTTAGTAATGTTCATTAATATTACAGTTATATACTCAGATTAATAATTCGTGAAATATGACAAAGCATCGGATGTGATAAACTATACGAACAATTACACCATAACGGAAGATTGAAAAAAAGAATTTCACGGGATTATATTCAAAATTTAAATTGAGCCGAAAAAAATAATTCCAGAGACACAAATTAAAACAAAAGAAAATAATCTAAACGATCGTTAACGATATAATTAGTATAATATAACAAATTAAAAAATAAAATAACGTGAAATAAAGTAACAAAATTACGGACCTACGGTAACCCCAAAATTACCTTTGGAAAACCTTTATATATCTGCATTTAATATAAAACAAAATAATCTATTTGATTTGAGTAAATTAACTTCTAAACTTAATGAACAACGTCCAAGTTTTTTTCAAAGATGAACTTGGCATAGAAAAACAGTAATAAGAACAACACCCTAGAGAGTAACCTTTCACGAAAATTACCGAACATAGTTAAGTGAGTGAACGTTCGAAGTATAGGAACGCAGCAGAAGACCTTCTCGTTCGCCATTCTACGTTCCACGAGGCAATCATAGTGTGTTCACTCACTCAGTATAGTAATCGAGTAACGCGCGATCGGTCAACACCGCTTTCATTCTTCTAATACACGAAGCAATTATTACTACTCTCGTATTTTACATTTATCTTTTTCCTTTTTTTTTTTTTTTTTTTTTTGTTTCTAACAACATTTGTTAAAGCATTACAGTAATTCTTAGGGCTCACATTAAGCTGAATTAATCGACCGTATGAATCGTAGATCTTCCTTTAGGATACTTCGACCTCATCTTCATCCTCATTCTCATCCTCATACTTCATCGAGGAAGAACCGTGACGATATTTCTTCGGAGAAGATAACACCAAAGAAAGGTTTGTTCTTAACATTAGTTTCCCTTGTCTGATTGCAAGATATTTCATTCATTCATTTTTTTCTCTCTCTCTTTCTTTCATGCTTCTTTTTTATTCCTTTTTCTTTTTCTTTTATGTCTATATGACAGAAGAGACATAACTCTTTGATATCGACAGATGTAGGTAACATAAATTTTAACGATAGTATTTTATTCTGTGTTTGTGTGTTATTATGATTAAATATATGTTTAACGTAAATTATAAGATCCAAATTTTACGTTATTAATAAAATTACATGTGTTTTTATTTTTTTTTTTTTCAACCTTTTATTGTTACAATTAGTTCATTAAGAAAAATTAATCTAATGTGTATGAATAAAAATTCATAAATATGTGTGCACGCGTGTAGTGAAACAAAAAATATATACAGGGTCCTCCTTCGCCTAACTCGACCACTTAAAATATCTCGTTTATAATATAATAAATGTTGTTCTCTTGTATATGAAAAGATTTTTTGCCTTTATGAGTGTTTTACACGTTGATTTGTATTTGTTTTTTTTTTCATTTACCGGTCCTCCGAGCACGTACTGAAATATTTCTTACAAACATTTCATAATTTTCTCGATAAGGGTTACTCTTGATGGTCAACATGTTCGTTTTTTTATAGACTATAAGAATATTCTAGTATAAATATATAGTTGCATTTAAAAATGATATCTCGAAAAAAATAATTCGGCCTTTCACTATATATCGGCGCCTTTGAATAGAATATTTTTTTTCTCTGACATTTTTTTCTATCGTATGAAATAAAGGAGATATTTTAGGTGATCGAGTTAGGCGCGAAAGAACCTAATTCATCTTGGAATTTGTTCCTCGTGTCGTTTTAATTAGAATAAAATCATCGTATCTTCGTAATATTCAAACAAATTTTCTCCTACGACAAATTCTAAACAAATTTTTCAGGGAGAAACAAATTCGTTAGAAATTTATTCCTTTTTCTTTTTTTTTATCAAATGACAAAAAAATTCTTTTGTCATAAAATTATTTCGTACTTTTGTTCATTCTTATAAATACATAAAAATAAATATTTTGATTACTGACGTAACACGATTGTTATTTTTAAACAATTTTGAAAATCGAAAAAATTTAGTCGCATTTTTGCATATTTTTTTATTCTTCAAATTAGAACAAGAAGATTTTAAGCAGATAAAACAAAAGGTGTGAGAATTGGAAGATATATATAAATAAGTCAATAAATAATAATAAAAAGAGATTAATTTGTTGGAATTAGTTATTCGGCGAGTTGAAAAAGCTCTAACGAGATCTTGTGGCGTGTGTTGCTATGATAATTTGATCGAGGAGCCGAGTTTGCATTGCTGTCTGGACCACAACAGACTATCTCAAATCAACAACTTACAAGTGTCTCTTTTTCTCGCTGCCATGTAATCCAAGATAAAATATTACATTATTAAAACTTTTATATTATGTTCCCATATCTTCATATTACGTAATAAATATTATTAAACAATTATTATCATCAACTACTTAAAGTCTCCTTGTATTTTTTTTTTACTCTTCCTTTTTACGGGTTTAAATATCACTTCTCTAAAAAACACAATTTATTATCAAACTTATTTTAATACTACCAAAGAAAAATACATGGTTTTTGTTTGACTAGGCCGTTGACCATATTATCAGTTAAATTCAAGAAATGAAAAAACGATTATAAATAAATTAGTCTATCACAGAAAGTTTCGTCAAATGCGTTTTAATATAAATTCTTAAATACGCGTGTACGTGTTTAAAAATAAATATATATATGTAATTATAAAAATATATTGTGCACATAAAAATATTCAAAAATATTTAATATTCTTTATTACTCTGATTTTTACGAGTCCGAGAAAGGATCCGTTCCCTTTACAAACAATTATCAAATCCTCCTATCTTTCCGAATTAATACACAGCTTACAACTAACACAACATACAACATAAATTTAATATAAGTATATTTAATATATTTTAATATAATTACTTTAATTAATCCAACTATTATATACATTATATAAATACAATGCAACATCGAATAATATTTATCATTGTATATATATTTTTATTATATATTATAATAATATAGTTTTCCAGTTAATTAAAATAATATTACAATTAATATATAAAAATTCACAAGACTGGCATTCAATTCGTCTGAAAACAACTTGCGAAAAAAATACACTCTAATGAAGACGTTACAAATCTAAAATTTATCTCGCTGTATTCTCATTATCTCATTGTCAGTTGTAAATATATGTGTGAGTGTATATCATGAGACTGCTGTGACAAGACACGACTATGTTAATATTTGTATATCTCTTGTTGTCGACAGTGCTGCTTTCGTTCTCTAAAAGAATTTATTCATTTTTGTTTTTCGATGTTAGTTTTCGGTTGTCTTTCAAATCGTTTAACTATTTCGAGAACATTTTTATTAAAAAAAAAAAAAAGAGAAAAAATCGAACAGTGAATAAGTGCGTTTTAAAAGTGTTTTAAAGTGTAAGAAACAATTTATTTATATATTTTTGTCTATAAATTATTCAACAAACCTTTGTCTAAATTAACATACGGAAGTTCTTATTCCTTGTTTATCGTTGTATATTAAAAGATATTTTTTCTAGGATAATAGAATTTGAGAAAAACAATCAAAGAAAGTTAGAAAATAAATTAAATAATTGTATTCATATATTAGCATAAATTAACATTTTTGTTTAACAATTACAAACAAATTTTTGTAAATCGTTTATAAAAAAAAAAAAATAAAATAATTCGAGAAAGAACGATAAAACAAATTATAAAATAAATATAATTACCATATTTATATATATAAAATAAATTAAATTTTGGTAAAATAATTCTTGAAAATAAATGAAACATAAAATCTTATGAATAATGAATAAAAGAAAGATAAGAAAAATGAAAAAATACAAAATTAGGTCAATTCGACTAATTAACCGTCGATAAGTGAACATTTTGTTTACATACGAAAATGAACGACTATTTAATTATATCATTTCATTTAAAATTCCTATTGTGTAAATACGCACATACACATTTACATTCTGGTGAAGTATCATTACATAATCATGTGTATTGTATAAAGCATTAGGACTCCTTGTTAACTAAATCATTGGTGGTGACAGTTAAACGTCAATGGTTCTAGATAATATGTTCCATTTATTTGCTGTTTTAATCTTTCCTTATTAGCTCCACAAAGCAGTAATCTCTCATTTTTTGCTACCGGCTTTAACCGAGTAGCAAGTTAAAGCTTAAAAAACAATAAAAAAAAGAAAGATAAGAAATCAGAACATAAAAGAGAAGAAAAAGAAAAAAAAATCCACTGTCCATGTCTCCGAAACGATTATTCCTGCTCTTTTCATTGATCAATCTTATCTCATTTATTCTAACATTTTCGAAAGAATTTAATATAAATATCTGCTTATAGATAACGCGAGAGAACTATATTATCATTTTATTGAAATTTTATTCTTTCGGAAGAACAAGAAACGATTCATAACTGTATTCGAATTTTGTTATTAATAAAAAATCTCATTTTCAACGTATATGTTTCTTCATAAAAAAGAAATTTATTTAAAATTATGATTGAATATAATGAACAAAATTTTGCCAAAATTATCGTTTATTCCAATTTAATATATATTGTTGTTATAACTTACGCTATGCATGTAAAAATATTCAATCTTCTTTTATACTGAAAACACGGTTTAGAAATAAAATGATGCAAAAATTGCTAAAATCATTTAATATATATATAACACCGTTTTCATATAAAAACAAACCAAAAAATTTTATAAACTTGAATAGCTCTCGTCTAACACGAATTTTTTATCATTAATTTAAATCCCAATACTTTAAAATTTCATTTTTACACGGATTCTATACAACACGGGTAAGGATTAATCCGTTTCGTACAGAAAATTAAATTTTTTTTTAACTACACACACACAATTACATACAATAGATAAAAAAATATTTTCAATATTAGAAATCATTTGAAATGAATTTGTTTTGTATTGTTCTTTTCTTTCTCTTTGTTTGTTTCATTTGTATTCTTTCGTTCTGCTATTAATAATCCACCCTTGAAAATCAACCGGGTCTTTCGTGGCTTTTAGCAAGAGCCAAGTCATTAACGCCTGCCAAGGTGTGTATCAACGAAACAAAGCGGTCTGGCTCGCACAACATCGCTCACGAAAAACGAGTCTTTTCTTTCGAAACAACACGTCCCTAACTATCATCGTAATACTAAAAAGAAAACAGGGCCAATATTTCTGCCATCTACTTTCGAACAAACATTCTTTATACGCTCGAACCATTATTAGCCTACATTGTCTCAACAATAAATTCTTTCCTTTCTACCTTTTTTTTTTTCTCTCTCTCTCTCAAAAGTATTTTCCTTGAAAAATTTGTACCAAAAAAAAAAAAAAAAAAAAAAAAAAAAAAATATAAGATTTTAATTACATCGCGTTGTATAATATAAAATTATCATATAATTTTATTAAATTTTAATTAATTATAAGATAGATTTTATTATACAACGAACGATGTTCTAAGCAAACAAATTTCTCTCTCATTTATTTTTTTTTATTCATTCATTATGAAATCGTTCATTTTTATGAAGAATATGATTTAGCGAGTATCATTTATTATTAAGAATAATTTTTTTTTTCGTTTTTATCTATTTTCTTTTTTTGCAGTTCGTTCAAAAATCAAATATGGCAATGTTAACATCGGAAATGACGGTAATAAGGCCGATCTATCGTCAAGACGAACTGCATCGGGTGTGCAAGTATGCGGAACCAAAGAGAAATCGTAAGTTGAGTCAGTAACATTACATTAGATTGAATATTATTAGTTTTTGTTTTTTAATAAATCAACTTATAGATTTCATCTCCGCGAAAGCGAAACGAATCCTTGAAATGATCTTTCATTTCTTTTTTTTTTTTTTATTAAAATTTTCTTTTCGATTAATCATTAAGATTTTATTTCGATATAGTTTCCGAGCAAATTTCCAAAAGATGGAGGAATACTAGTCCATGGAAAATGTTGAAAAAATCAGTACCATTGATAGATTGGTTGCCGAAATATAATTGGAGGAGTAATATTCTTGGTGACATCGTTGCTGGTATTACTGTCGCTGTTATGCACATACCTCAAGGTATAATTATTGTCAATAATTTGTATCTTTTAATTGACTTTTTTCTTTTTCTTATTTTTATTATAAATGTTCATTTACATTTGAACATTTTATCTACGATTTTTTAAAATGAAAAAATTCTGATTTGGTTGCATTGTGGATATAAATTTCAATTAATATTTATTATTTTTTAAATGTCAAATATGCATTTATAATATAATCTTTAGTGTAATTAAATTAATTTTGATTAAAAGTGATTCATTATTATTATTAAGTAATACAATTATTATACAGGAATGGCGTATGCAATATTGGGCAATGTACCATCTATAGTTGGCATTTACATGGCTTTCTTTCCAGTTCTAATATATTTTTTATTCGGTACATCCAGACACAACTCAATGGGTAATTTGTTTGTTTTTTTATTGCATAAAACCATAAAATAAACCTTATTTGATTTTATTATAATTTCTCTATATCCTAATTTTAGGTACATTCGCAGTAATTTGCATGATGACCGGAAAAGTGGTCGTGACGTATAGTTCAGTGGAAAATTCTATGAACAATAGTACACAAATCGATGGAGGGAACATAATAGGATCGAATATGATCAATCATGAGTATACCCCAATACAAGTGGCAACTGTTGTAACTTTCGTCGTTGGTCTAATGCAGGTGACGTTGTTGTTAAAATTCAGATTAATCATTGATTGATTCGATATTTAACGTGTAACTCAAGATATCTGGTCTAGTTAGGAATGTACGTATTACGATTGGGTGTTATATCTTCGTTCTTGGCTGATAGCCTAATAAGTGGCTTTACAACAGCTGCTGGTTTACATGTTTTCACGTCACAAGTGAAGGATCTTCTTGGTTTAACTTTAATACCACGGAGAGGTATATTTAAACTAATACTCGTGAGTACAAATTCATCGGAATTTACAGAATGTCTTGTAATTGGTGATACAAGCAAGTAATAGATAATTCTACGTGAAAAATTAAGTTGGAAATGTAGAATCAAATTTGTTTATATAAAGCTTTGTTATTGAGAAAAAGAAATTCTCCAATTTGTTTTTGACCACTCGCTTGACCCATCAATAACATCAAATATAAATACAAGACTTCCTATATTTATCTCTCTCATATTTAAATCAAATTTAATATTTTATTTTCTTCTTTTCAGACATATTTTGATATTTTTAATAATATTGATAAAGTCAATCTGGCTGCTTTGAGTTTGTCAGCCATAACGATTGTTATTTTAATATTTAATAATCAATTCTTGAAAGTAAGTATTATGGATAATGTTCATTTATTACTCTTAAATTTTTAGTTTCTTTTTTAATCTATATGAATTTTATTTATAATATTGATAAGTACCCGCTATCTTAATCGATACAGTTTTCTATTTTGATATCCACAGAACTGTGATAATTATAAAGTACTAAATAATATATGATTGTCAAGTATATATTTCAAACAATGCTATTTATATAAATAGAACATAAGATATCAAAAAAAACTCTATTAAAAATCACATCAACAACCATGCACGTGTGTCATAAAAGACCTTGTCAGAAAAAATGATATAATGTGTTGATATTATGATAAATGACAATCATCTCCAATTTATCAACATTTTGAATAAAATTCATGTAAATTATTACTCATCAAAATGAACATTGCTACTATTTACATGATAAGAGTATTTATTTAAAAAATAATGATCATATTCTTTAGCCAAGATTTGCTAGGATAAGTCCATTTCCAATACCAATAGAAATGTTAGCAGTAGTCGGTGGTACTTTAATATCAATGTACATGAATTTGACAGAAGAATACAATATTAAAATAGTCGGTGATATACCAGTGGGGTAAATATACTTAATTAATTTGTTATTATAATTTAAATTAAATATATCAAACTTTAGAAAATGTAATACTTAATCTTTATACAGTTTAGACTTAATTCTGATTACAATCAAATATATGTCAGCTATAGAAAAATCTTATTAAACATTAGTTCAATCTTTATAATTTTTAGATAACTTTAATAAACCTTTGAAATATCTTATGTTTATATTTAATTCTTATAAATTGCACATAATTTTAATTGATACAAAATATGTCAAACTTAACAACATCATATACTGATATTTAATCATTATAAATTTCAGATTACCAACGCCATCGTTACCTCCGCTTTCTCTAGTACCAAACGTTCTGCTTGATAGCTTCATAATTACTTTGGTTTCCTATACTATATCTATGTCAATGGCTTTAATCTTTGCGCAAAAGGTTGGTTACGAAGTAGATGCCAATCAAGAATTAGTTGCCCAGGCAAGTTCAATTATGTCTTTCAACATCACTTCAAGGTTTTTACTATAAAACAATAAAAAGTTAACTAAATAGAACTCTGACACATACTTGGTATTATTTTTCTAGGGTCTTGGAAATCTTTTTGGATCGTTTTTCTCATGTATGCCATTCACTGCCTCATTATCGAGATCATTGATCCAAGAAACTGTTGGTGGACGTACTCAGTTAGCCAGTTTGATTTCTTGTGGAATTTTGGTCAGCGTTTTACTATGGATTGGACCATTCTTCGAACCACTTCCACGAGTAATTTCCAATGAATTTTTCATTAATTTACAATAAAAGATAAACACGTGATTCGCAAATTATATATTTCATTAATTTTAGACTATTGATTATTACAAATTTTTAGAATCATACAATTGAAAACTCGAAATTTATTTATGAAATTATTTTATTGAAAAAAACAATTCTCAAAAATAATTTCCTACGATGCTTCTCGTTTCAATGTAATATGCATTATATGAACATTATTTCTTTAGTGTATTCTAGCCAGTATAATCGTCGTGGCTCTCCAAGGTATGCTGATAAAAATAACAGATTTTCTAAAGTTTTGGAAATTGGATAAAACAGATGCCAGTATCTGGGCTATCACATTTCTCACAGTTATTTTGTTGGACGTTGAATATGGCCTGATCGTTGGTTTATTTGTATGTCTTACAAAATTAATCATTATTGCTACTCAACCCTATGCATGTTTACTTGCATTGGCACCTGGTACTGAACTTTATTTGGACTCTCAAAGATACAAAGGAGTATGACAATTTTCTTTTACATCTTTTTTTTTATTTGTTATTAATCCAATCATGATAAATAAATAAATTATTTTAGACCATCGAGATTGCAGGAATTAAAATATTTCATTACTCGGGAAGTTTAAACTTTGCATCTAAACAACATTTTTGTGAGACAGTTTACAAACTTACCGAAGTGACACCGAGAAAAGAATTGATGAAGAGAAATTCTAAAAAAGGCACAGAAGATGACAGAACAGATGAGGTATACTTGTAAATCAATTTTTGAAGTGAAACTTTTTAGGCGACGGTAACCACATAATTTTGTTAAACGACATCAAAAGAAACGGAATATAATGATAGAAAAAGAGAAATAGGAAATAAGATAGAATCCACAATGTTCAACATACTTTAAATGATTGTTAATTAAACGAAAGAAATGTATATTGTAGTCTAAAAGCACTGAGTATAAATTTGACGAACCTTCCACTTCGAAATCCCTCATTAGATTGATTCGTTGTCCTCTATGAAAGTTAATTAAAATACTAGTTGTTTATATGACTTTAGGAAATATAAATTTTATTTACTAGGCATATATTGTATTTGTATATTTATGTAATCTTCGCTCGGAAACTCATATAAATAATAATCATTAAAAGAACTTTCATAGAGGACAACGAACTAGTCTAACGGTGGATTTCGAGGATGACGGTTCATCAATCTTATACTCCTTACTTCTAAATAACAATATACATTTCCTACGATTAATTATCAATTAATTAATGTATATTGCACACTCTAACGTACTGTACCAATATCTTGGATTGTTTAAACAAACAATACACTTCTATTAACGTCCCTGTTCAGTACTGACTTTGAACTGAAAATTTTTCATCTTAAAAAATGTCAGATCGAAATTATTTAATATTTGAAGCATATTATGAGATATATCATTTTTAAATGTACTTTGTATTATATTATTTTTACTTTAATGGGTTTTAAACTAATTCTGATACTAAACAACATTTAAATAACAGTAAAAACAAAGGATAATAAGATCGTTTGACAAGAAAAAACCGGGTATTCTTTTTGTTATATCAAAGTGTACGATTTTAAGAGACACTCATTGTATATATTAACCCATTTAATTTTTTCCACATTATAGTACAAGTTTCACTTCTATCGTATGTAAAGGCCGCGCACATTCTTTTTTCTCAACCAATTTGATAATATATCATCGCAAAATATATTATATAAAAATGATTATATTTTTTATTTTTTAGATAAAATTCTCAAATTTCTATTACGCCGAACAATCTTCGTGTTCTTCGCAACAACTTTACACTAGTAGGAATACATTGAATCATCATTATGGCAGCACAACGATCAAAGAAACCGTAATTTCTTTATTCAATTATATTTTTTATTTTTTTAAAAATACATTTGCCATACTTATTTCATTTAAAAATGTATTGCTATCTAATTACTTTCAATTATTTTAATTTATTACAAAATATATCTTTGAGAGATTAATTATATTTATTATTATACATTTTCACAGATACAAACTCTGATATTGGATTTTTCGGCAGTGGTATACATCGATCCTGCTGGTGTAAAAATTGTAAAAAATTTAATTAACGAATACAATGAAATAGATGTTTCCGTTTATATTACTGGATCTTGCGGACCCGTTTACGAAATGATGACTAAATGTAATTTATTAGAATCCAATAATCATACCTTTGGATTATTTCCTACGATCTCCGATGCTGTACATTTTGCACAACATCAAAATAATATTATGACAATATCAACGTAAAATAATAATCTTTAGGATGAAAATTATACAAATATAAATATTTATAAATAACAATTAGAAACAACAAATGTAGGCTAACATTTTTCTTAATAATATATTCGTGTTATTTTATTAAACAAGGAGCAGTATTATTTTATAACAATTTATAAATATTCTTCTTTCATGTCTTACCAGATTTATTATCAGATTATATACTTTTTTTTTTTCATATGTTATTATATATGATAAATATTTAATAAGACTAATTAAAAACGCCTAAAAGTATGCAATCATTTATACGTCGATTTATGTGTTTAGTATTCTTTTAAATGACAAAATCAACTTTAAATATATCCACTGCAAGTATACCAACTTTACTTTCATTTTTTTCCAAGTGTACTTGCGCCTTGAATTTATGGTTGTGCATGTGTATAACATATCTCCCACTCATGACGTCGCCATTTCATAATTATTCAAAGTGTAATAATTATTTTCAATTAATTAACGATAAATAAAAAATATTTGATAAAATAAAGTTGAGCAAATAGTAAGAAAATAAGAACACTTATTCATTTTTTTCTGCTATTGCAAACTTCGTTGCTTTGCTTAAAAATAGGAAAAAAACATTTTTGCATTTTCAATTATTAATAACTAATTAAATAATTATTTAATAAAGTCAGCAATTATAGATTTTGATTGAGCAAATAGTGTGCAATTAAGGGTACTTATTCATTTTTTTCTGCTGTTAAGGTTCCTTACCAGCGTTCCTACGGTTTTTAAATGCATATATGGTAGTAGCGGTATAGTTAAAGAATCTTCTTATAGATGACACTGTTCAAAACATATGGAGCAAATCACATCACAGAGTTTAGTATTTGGGGTTATACAAATTGTGCCACGTCTGAAATATTTATTTATTTAACAAAATGAGTTCTTGGTTGCAGTATATAAGGTCTATACCTACGCATATGGTAGGTCATAAAGATGATTTTATTAAAATTCATACAAATTCTAGCTCGTCGTTAGAGAATTATCAATTTTTGAAATTCATAACATATTTAGAGGTTATGCATTTCCATACGTCAATGACATGATACAATTTTAAAGTTTTATACATTAAACATTATTGATAAATCAAAAAAATATTTACATATTGACTTATATATTAACGTAAGAAAATATATATTAAATATGTTGTCATGTAAGTTTTATTTTTGATTAAGTATTTGTCATTACAGGACTATGATGGCCAAGGTAGAGCGGAGAAACTTTCAAGAGTCATCATAACTCTCTTTGGAGTTAGTAACTACTTTTATGATAATTTATTATTACAATTTGTTAATATAGCTTAAAAAAACTGTGATAAAATCTTGTATACAGGTCGTTGGTCTCATATGGGGATACGTCATTCAACAATTTTCTCAAACAATTTATATCCTCGGTGCAGGTTTTGTTATGGCTGCTTTAGTCACAGTACCACCATGGCCCATGTATCGTCGTAAACCATTAGATTGGCAGAAACCACAAGCCGAAGTTAACACAAAGTTAAAAAAGAAAAAGTAAATTATATAGATATAATTTTCCAAACACACTGATAATGTGATCCAAGTTCTTGTTTGACCAAGTGCGAAGGTTAAAGAGACTGACATTAATACGGTTAATATAATGTTTTATAATCTATAAATGCGAGACTTTAAAGAAACAACATTCCGCAGCATTTAATAACCAATGATGTAATACAAAGTTCGTCGTTCAAATCGTTTTGACATATTTATCCGTAAACAGTGTAATAGCCATTTCTAAAAAAAAATGACACGATACACTAGAAAAATTTATTGGAATATATACAAAATGTGATAATATTATTCAAATAAGAATATAAAAAGTATTCAAGAAATATATATAGGATGGTCCACGATTATTTCATACAATCATCAACATTATATATCGTATATAAAAAAATAATAATATTATTTAACACAATAAGTAATATAAAAATTATTAATAAATTTTACAGAAAATAATCTACTATCATTTTCTACAGCTACAAAAATTATATGAAATATATATATATATATATAAGGAAAAGATTATTTAAATAATATAAAAGAGATATTTATAAAATGTATACAGGAAAATTTACAATCATTATCAATCATTTAAAGAAAACTAGTACTACATATTTTTATATGGCGAGAAGGAAGTAAATCAACAATATGAGTTTTTAATTTATCTGTCAATCGTCAATTTCCCCACGTTGTTTTCCCTAACGATTATCTTTCGTTTATGGCAATAGCACATTCTACATTGTCGTGCATTGGACGAGTTCCAACGTTAGACTTTCATTTATCATGTCCCTCGTTTTCTTTCGTTGCACGATGATGTATATACTACTCTCAAAATCAAACATCGATTAAATCACTTTCAAGAGTGTTCAACAAGTATTGAATCGTTTTTATGATATTTCGTTGACAACTTGTGAATATCTCTCTTAAAAAGTACTTCGATCAATTTTAAATATTTCAATAATGAAATGACTTTTACGAGTACCAAATGAGCGAAAGAATTCTTTTTATTATACTTCGTTGAAAATGATTGGCTATCTCTTTTAAAATATATATATTTTATATATTTTCGCAAATATATAAGATATATTATATATTAAAAAGTATTCTCTTATCAATTTTGAGTATTTAAATAGTTAAATGATTTTTACGATTACGAAATAAGGAGAGAATTATTTTTACGATACCGCATTAAAAAAAACTATCTCTTTTGATAAGTATTCATTAGTTTTCAAATAAAAATATATCGATACATTAAATAGAAATGTAGAACGAATTAAAAAGTCTAATTAAGTTTTAATATTCTAATTTGTGTCCAATAAATATGAGAATGTAAAATTCTCTCGTAAACGTTATAAATTTTGCTTTCGTTTCAAATATTTCTCCTAGATTCGAAGAGAAATTCAAATTTGGTATTTCGTAACGCGATGAAAGCGTGATATAAAACAAATTTGAATTTGCAAGTGTCATCATTTAAATTTCTATTAAAAATTAATTTACATAATTAGTTCAAACAAAAAAAAAAAAAAACGGGAAAAAGTAATAATAAAATTGTGAAAAAAAAGTAAAAGAATTAACGAAGGAAGACAACAAAATGTTCTCATCATTCGTACAGTGTGTAATTTTAAAAGTAGCTCAAAATAAGATGACGTAACGAAAACCGTCGTCTCGTCAGTTCCATCAGCTTTCAAATGAAAAACATTGGGAACGTTCGAAAGCCGGAAGGTAATCGTTTCATTTAATCAGCCATTTATCCTGATCCAGTTTCGAACTTGAAAATTACGCTTCATAAAATAGAATAAAATTTATCGTTCCATTTGGTTCACGTGTTTTCCTTCTAACGCTTATTTTTTTTTCAATCTCTTACAATGATCATACTTTTATCCCATGGCAGCACATATGGGGGATACATAAAAATATATGTGCATTTAGTTACGAAACGCTTTCTCCCTGTATGAAGGATATTTTAAGTATGCGAGCTACACCACTTCCTGTAACTCTGTCGGCTTCATCGGTGCAAGAGCAAAAAAAAAACAGAAATAAAAAAAAAAGAACAACTTTACGAGGAATTTTTAAATCACATTCAAGGATGGCCGACTAAAAAAGTATTCCGCCATATTGAAAACCAACCTTCGAAATTGCACTTGGAACGCCATTTATTTTCGGACTGCTAAGAATATGCATCTTCTTATATATAAAAAAACATTTTGTTTAATTTAATAATATTGAAATAATACACACACAATTCTTTTATTTAAGTCAACATATTTTTTTTTTTTTTTAATAGTTTATTCTATTTTATGTTATGCAAGTAACTAAATGTGCGATATATCTTATCGATCGACTGACAATCTATTTAACTTTGTGATATTATAAAAATAATATTTATTAATTTAAATCTGTTACACAGTAGAAGGAATAAAGTTTTCTTATTTTTCCGTCGTATTTTAACTCACAATAATTGAAGATTAGAAATGACTTGGATTATTTAATCAACTTATGTTATATGCATGTAAGAACGTTGGACTAACATTTCACAAGCAAGCAACGGCGCGTTATAAACATTACAAGTTACGAGGAAGATCGTGGACGATTTCTTTCTATTGCGTATACATACACACGTCTATGATGATATTATCGACACATCATAGTGATTCCGAAGTAGTGAAATCGGTATAACGTTTGGTATCACCAGCAGAAACGTACATATTTATATATAATACTATTTTTATTTGTATAGGATGGGTCTAAAATTAAAAGGTGATTTTCAAAACCAGTTACTATTTTATGTGTAATTTTTTTAAATTAATTTTTTTCTTAGATTTTAAAACCAAAAAGCTTAAAAATGTACATTTAAAGTTTAAACAATTATAAGAAGGAATAATTAATTTTAAAAATCAAATGGGAATTATTTATACTAAGCTAATTTTTTGTATAGATTATAAAACTACAAATTTAATAACTGAAATTATAAGTTTAACTACAATCTTACAAATTTAGAAAAAAAGATAATTGATTTATAAAATCATTTATAAACTTTTAATCCACCTTGTATATAAATATATTGTATAATATAAGAGAGATTAATTCATGTTTTATTAAAATCGATCCTTTATCTGTTCCATTTCTTAATATCTTATTTATTAGATATAAATACAAAATCAACATTTCAAAATTCAATAACAAATAATTATTGCTCATTAAAATTCATGAGTGAGATTCTTTCGTAGATACTTCTGGATAGAGATAAGCGAAAGAAGAAATGCGTAAAGGAAGAATCGAGAACTGCGTTTCCGATAAAAACAGAGCTATAACACTTTCTATGTGAATGTGAAAGAAAGGGCGTTAGGTAATCGAAAACTTTAAGATGATCTTGTAACGAACTGACCAAACTTCTTTCAAGGAAGAAACGCAATTAAACATAATCCAACGACTTACAAATGAACGACAACGATGTCGTTTTGTGGAAATGTTCACATAACATTATGCTCTCACTCTTTTACACCATCAATTTTCTACCGGACATAGTAAATACAATTGAATACATATACGTGTATAGGTATGTGCATATATATTGGATTGACCAATATAAGTATACTCACAATTTTGGAATATTGTTTATTCTAAATAAATGTTAAATATTATTATAGTATTTTGTACTGAAAAATTTGCATATTAAAAAAATACTATTTCTTTACTAAAAAAAAATACTAATAATTAAATAATGTTTTTTACTGGAAGATATTATATATATATATTAATTATATTATTTACTGACAAATAATGATATATAAAAATAGTTTTTATTATAGAAGAAAATAAAAAGTAGCAAAAATGATATGAAAAAATACATATGTTGTTCATTTCAAATATACAATATTGAAAATACTGATATATTACTTAATAGAAACGATTTCTTAAAAAAAAAAAAAAATTGTTAATTAGGTTCTTATCTTATCTTACATCAAAAAATATTCTCGAACTTATACTGAAGATTCTTATGTAATACTCATTACTACGAACTATAATCAGTCAAGAAAGTTATGTATTTATATACGGAAAATACGAAAGTTTATAAAAAATATATAATTATGCAATTATACTGATCACTTTTTCGCAACAATCAGAAGATACGAATTTTCCACGTTTTAATACAGTGTAACAAAAATATACGAACAAAACAAATATACTTACCACGAATCGGAAGAACGAAATTACGAAAAACAAAATGAAAAACTTCAACTTATAATAAAGAAAAATCTTTTCGCACCATCGTCATTGCATGCTAGAACGCTCCCCGATTAAATGTGCAAATAGAAACGGTAATTCAATGTTAACCGTATCCCATAACCGTAAACTATAGTTTTCTATGATATGGTGTAATTACGTTTCAAATACTATAGTTGAGTTGGCAATTGTACAAGCAAGCATTTACTTTTACTTTGTGACGAATCATTGTCTAAGAATTTGCTATCATTCAAATAAGGATGACAAATAATGTAAATAAACAAACTTCAATTTTTTTAAACGTAAATTTAATATTTTATTTGTCGTTCACGTAGAAAAAGACACAGAGAAACACGCTTAACCAAAAATATTTTTCCCACGCTTGACAATTGTTTCGCGATAATTAATTTTAATAATTAAACGTTGATAATTAAACCAAGGATGGAGACACAAATTTTTGTTAAACATAAAAATCTGATTGAAATTTGATATATATATATATATTTTTTATCGTATAAAACAAAAATTTAGAAACACTTGTTAAAAATATTTGCACGCACGTGACAATTGTTTATATTTCTTCCTTTTTTCACTGACAATATCGTTCATAGTGTTTAGTAATTTTTTAATTAATTAATTAATTAATGTTTTCTTTGATTACTCATTCAATCACGTATTTCACACAAACACACACACACTTGACATTTATTAATTTACTTTTGTTAATAACAATATCGTTTCATTATTATAAATTATAATTTAAATGAATTTATTTATATATGAGAGAGACTAATAAAATAGAGAAATTGATTGGAACTTTCAACTGGGAGGATACACTGCGTCTCACTGTTACACAGCTTCTTCCGAATACTTTGAATTACGTGCGTGCGTGCGTGCGTGCGTACGCACACATATAGATCCCGGTAGACGATTTTTCGGTTCAGGAGATCGTGTTATTATTATACATATAACATACGTAAAACATACGTAACGGTCTCCGATCGTTTCCTTGCTTTTACATAACCATAATGTCTCACTATGATTCTTTCCCCCACCCTGATCATTTTCACCGGGTGGTTTTGGCCAAGGCACTCACGTGTTCTTTAT